TTCCACTTTGTCTGATGTAAGAAAACAGGTTGTAGCTGCACTTCCAAGAGAAGCAACGGGTCCACTACACCGACTGCAACCGGGTGACTTCGTGGTGGTGAAGGACTTCAGGAGGAAAAGTTGGAAAGCTAAACGGTGGCAGGGTCCATTCCAGATTCTCCTGGTCACCCAAACAGCGGTCAAGGTAGCTGAAAGAGCAACTTGGGTCCACGCATCCCATTGCAAGAAGGTTCCAGATCCAGTACCAGCAGTGGGCTCAGGCGACCCTACCTCCACAAAAAGTGTCAATCAACCGACACCACCGATCCAGTGACCACGGACGGGCAGTTGACCGACAGACACACAGTGCATTGTGATCTGTGTTGACTGTCTACAACGCGGATGCCTCACAAGAAAGAGGGTTGGCAGACTCCACATCCCAACGTGTACCTGCGGACCAACACAAGAAGAAGAACACGGCCAGGACCCCTCCACATAGACACAGTAGTCGTTTGTGCCACGACAGTTTATTCATATTATTGCTTGCTTCAGTTTCATTGTATCTCAGCATCTTTTTGTGATTCCGTAGTCAGCTATCTAAAGAGTGGGTCTCTCTTATCATGGAACGACAGCGTTCATGGAACCCCCTCAGACGACTGGGGGGGACTCGTGTAACCATGTGTTTATTTGCAGGTGTCACTTTATTTGTGTTGATTCCATATTTAGTCCTCCACCAGAAACATTTAGACGACTTACTTGACCGACGCAACAACTCAACTCACTCTAACTTGACCATTCGCAACCGCACCAAGCGAGCACTGACCCGCCTAGACAACCGGTTCGAAAATGTGATAAACCCATTGAACAAATATTCTGCAAATATGTGGTGGCGCTATGCTCAACACGTAGCGACAAAAGAAAATGCTTCCGACTGTTACGTATGTTCTCCGCTACCCATCAGCACTAATCAACCACGGCTAGCCGTAGCCCCCCTGGGGAAGTCTGAAGGATGTTTCTGCGGGCTCTCGGTTAGTGGGTGGTATGTGCCCCCCATAGTCCTGTATATATCCAACGATAGCGACAAAGATTCTTTGTTTATTTATGAGTTATCCCCATGGGAAACAATAGATGATTTGGACTGTGCACAATCTCACGATATCAAACGATACACGGCTAGCCAAACGTCTACATTCGCACTCCAGGCTCAGGAAAGCCCAACACGGTTTCCTCTCTGCTATGCTCGTGATGGGACACATCCAGTGGGGAAAACAGACCCTGCAAGGTGTGACACGATCCTCATTGCAGGAAACCATGCGTTTAATGATTTAAATTGCAATAAAGACCATTTCCCAACTTTCCGAAACGACTGCGCCAAAAACCACAACAGGAGCTTTTGCCAAGCTAAGGGCACTGCAGAAAGGGCCGCAAAAGTGCCCATTCATCTCCAAAAATGGTCGTGTTCTGGCTGGACTTTCACTCCAGTAAATCCACGAGATTGCCCGCCCAATGTTAATTGTTCTGTTTTCCATTTCACTTTCCTCCCTGGGAAGAACGGTACTTATCCAGTGACCGAGGGATGGTGGCTGTGTGGCACCACCCTCCGCGTGTCTCTCCCCCCTCAGTGGAGCGGAATATGTACTCCTGTTCGCGTTACTGATCATACTTTTATTCTCACAGCTACAACAGGGACAAGCAAACGAACAAAACGAATGGCCGCATTGGACACTGGCCTTAACCCGGAAGTCAATTTTGCGCCACACGACTCAATCTGGTGCAGCGATGTGCCTGACGAGTTCAAACACGCCAGTACGTCAGTTAAAGTTTTGTGGGGACTGTTTCCATGGACAGGAGTGGGAAAAAACACGCTACGACTTGAAACCGTTGATTACCGTTTCAAAAGCTTTGTAAACATGACTCTAGCTGGCCTTAAGGGTATTCGCGAGGAAATGACCGCCATGCGTTTAATGATTATGCAGAACCGCATGGTACTAGACCAATTGACCGCTGCCCAAGGAGGTGTTTGTGCTATCGTAGGAGAATATTGCTGTACGTTTATCCCTGAGAATGACAAAGACGAAGGCATAATCCATCAGGCGATACAAAACATGACAAAACTTCAGGAATCTATGACAAGAGATAAATCTCCCTCCCCAGATTGGCTCACACGGGTGTGGTATTCATGGAAAGGAACACTAATACAAGCAGCTACTATCCTCTGTGTTCTCTTCGCATTCGTAATTTGCGGTATCCCATTGATCCGTCATACGATTGCCCAACTCCTGGCGAAACAAATGGCTATGTACAGCCTGGGGTCACCTGATGACTCACCACCAAACTTGTTCCCTAGACGCGACTCTGACAATAACCCCAACAGTGACTCGGACTCCCTTGACGAGCTGAACACTTACGACCTCGACACATACGCATAGTGACATAGTGACACACTGTCTGTGTGCATTCCTGGTGTTCTAAATGTTTTTGGTTTCACAGTAGCTTGCTAAAACAATGAGAAATAACATTCTCACAAAAACAGCTTTTATTCTTGCATTTATTAGTATGTAACGTAAATATGATTGATATAATGACCTTTCCACAATATTCTATATCTGTATTGTGTGAAAGGGGATCAAGTTCTGGTATTGTGATTTAAACATGTTCTCATTTCTTTTTTATTTCAATACTGTACACATGACATCTGGGGTGTAACGCTCAAATCCTGTGAGAAGGTTTCCAGTCTTTATCTTCTCCTAACAGATTTCTTCCTATTTTCCCATTTCGGAGGGTTTTTTTTAGGGAGTTTTTGTTCTGTGGCAGGAAGAGTTTTGTGAGCGATGTCCAGATGTTCATGTTTTGTGATATTTGATGTGGTAGATATCAGATGGTAAATTTTTAGAGTAGTCATTCTAAATTGATTGCATAGTTTGTGATTATTATGTAATCAAAAGAGTGGAATGTAATGGGAAAATGATATGTGACCCTTTTAAATGCTTCATTTGTATAACCAGTTTATTAGTTGTAAGTGCTTAGGTCACAAAGGCCCTGACATAAGAACTGATGTCTCCCACTTGGATTAGATGTTTCCAGCGTCATAGCTGTAGAGATTGAACAAAGTGTTTGTTATGTCTATGACCACCTTTGTTTTTGAATGTTGGGAGAGCAAGGATACGGTCAAAGAGCTGACGTGTCTTACATGGATAAGATGTTCCCAGTATCCTGACTGTAGATACTCAACAAGATGGTCAACGGTTTCGGTTGACGCCACCGATATCTAAACTTAGGTATAAGAACTGCCTCGAGGTGTTGGGAAAAAAAGGAGGTTCTTGACAGTCTACTGACCACGTAGCTGTTGTGACCCTTTTTCCCTTGCAAGGAAATAAACGGAGAAAAGACATACTTGACTCAGAGCCTTTGATTCTTACTTAACGATTGTCTGTGCAAAATCTTCCACCACAGTATACAGTTTTGAAAGACAACATCATGTGAGGCCAGCTGTCCAAGGTTAGCTCCGGTTGATTTGCAGCACAGGCTCTAAACGGACATATGTTCAGTACCAGTCAAGGTTTGGACACATTAACTCATTTACTTCAATGAGAAAGTGTGTCCACACTTTTGAATGGTACAGTATAATATGTATGAATGAATCAACTTGAAATGAAATAAAGACATTAAACTGTTTATCGGGTCCACTTTGCACTTGGTGGGTGTATTTTCGGAGGACCCATGGACGTGTTCTGTTGAACTCTGTGTACGCCACACGTTCAGTGTCAATAAACAAGTGAAAAACTTTGATGCATCGGGCCGCTGCGTAACGAGTCTAGCATGTCGTCCACATTGGGCCTCGCTGCCTGTTGCTGCTGGATACTGGATAGTCAACGGTAAACATTTTGGTATTTTTCTAAATAATCTAAGGGTTGAGTCAAAATTACATTATAAAAAACAAGTTGTTTTTTTTTTAAAAGCATATCTTGTCCACCAATGTTGTTGTTTGTTATTACTTTACTCTGCTGCACAAAATAAAACTAGTGTGCTGGCAGAGAGAAAGCTACTCCCCATAACCTGTTAAAAACTGCCCAATTTTTAGACCTCTGCCCAAAATTTGCATACACGTTTTTTTAAAGAGTATATCTCTGCAACTGCAAGGTCTGTTTTTGTGATGCAATAGAATAAATATTAGTGGATGCGTTACATGAAAATGGCAGACAGCAGAATTAAAAAAAGTTCCAGGTTGCCAAAAATCAAATTTTCATGATTTTTACCACTGATTTATATTTTATATGTATTTGAAGCTTTAAATCTCCAAAATACATGGACATTCTCTCTGCAAAGTTTGACTTTGATTAAGTGAAGCAGAAGAAAGTTAGGGCGTTTTTAGTGCAGACAGTTCAGGCAACAGCTTCAAAATGACCGTTCTGGCACATCTGTATATCTTATCTTCACAATAACAATATCTTCCAAATTATTTATTCCACTTGTATATCACTTATGGTGTCAAATATATCCAAATACAGTAGTTTGGAGCTTTAGTAGTATATAGATTACCGGGAAAAACACTTTTTCATCTTTCTTAACTAAACACTGCACACTCAAGAGCACGGGCCATTTAAATATTATTTACATCAGAGGTATTGCTATTTATTATTTAATAAAAGCAACAGTAAACCTCTGTCTACGGGGTCGGTCTGAATCATAAAGTCTTGGTGTTGGCCTACAATTTGCTGTTCCACTTCAAATGTTGCCATAGTTCGATCTGCACATGACCAAAAACCCTGAAAATGGAAATGAAGTTATAAGGAAGCCCAAGTCTCATGAATGTTAAGTTGTTATAAATAATTAAAACACTTTTAGAGGTTAAGGGGTGACGTTATCATAAAGTGTTTTCCGACAAAATGGCCCAAAGACGACATCATGCCTTTTTGTGAAACGTTACAATCTCGGAACCTCTTTAGAACGCGTGGAGGTAGGAACCAATGTCCTGACGCTAAGACTAGCCGGAACCTTTGCGCGGACATGACGGAAGTTTAGACGGTTGCTCTGGGTGAACGAAAGGAACGTTGACAGCATCGAACAAGACACTATTCTCTTCTCGCACATGAACCCAGTTTCCCCTGTCCCCCAACACATGGCGTCCAATTCCAACATAGATATTGAGGATGCGACCCAGCATCTTCGGGACATCCTAAAGCTCGATCGTCCCGGGAACACCACCGGTAAGTTGGACCGGGAATGAAAAGCGCCTGCGCTAGTCTAGACCGCAGATGCTAAACAAGCGCTAGCCTAACTAGCTAACGTTAGCTAAATAGGTACTACGCTAACGGGAGTTGGTTTAGCGCGCTCCAGCACTGGAGTAAAGTTAGCTCAATAGCAGTTGCACTACCTACTAAGGAAAAACACAATTTGTATGACAGTGGGATCATAGCTGTATTTTCTGACTAACTTTTCCGGAGCGACGCATGCGTTCATATTTGTCGCAATGACAGAGCGCTAACTACATTGGGATGGTGTCAGGTATTTTCTATAGCTAACGTTAGTGGGAACTGAGCTAACGTTACGAGCTTTGGCTAGCTTACGCCTTGGTCTATTTTTCTCGGCTAGGAAAGCTGGGTCTGTTGCTGCCTGGCAATAAATAAGTAGTTGGAACGAATGCTTGTGTAATCAAAATGATCTCGTCAAAATCTGCAGATATTTGTTAAATACTTCATAGCAGTAAAGTGATGCACATCTTAAGACCGAATCGTCTAGCAAGAAGTATTTGGGTGCTATTAGGAGTTAGCTTGAGCCTCCTCAACTGCGTAGAAGGTCGGTGTTTTTGGCTACTTTAAACATGCTCCTTTAGGCTTTGTTTAATGTTTCTGCAACCGAGGAAAGTCAAAGTCGTTTTGAAACTTGCACCTGTCAATAATGGTCGAGCCTTGTTGGGAAACCACTGACGTTACTGGTTCCAGGGAGGATGGAGAAAAAAAACTATATAGGTCTTCCAAAGGCTAAAAGTGTTTGCATTTGCTATTGAATTAATAGTGATGTTTTTGGATAAATAAAATATTCCCCCAGCTATCTAATAATGACTACAGTACCAGCCAAGCGTTTGGAAACACGTTCTCATTGAACATAATAAGAAAATGTGTCTAAACGTTTAAGAAAATACATTTTGTATTTATCTACACACATAAACGTGTGTGTATATATGTATATATATATATATATATATTGTATATTATATATGCGCTCAAATGAGCCATTCAAATGGCTCTTACTTGATGCCAATAGAAGGTTTGCACACCTGTCATTCTGATTAGTCGTTGCAGGCACACAGCACAGGTGTAATTGATAACGTTAATCATTAACTTTATCAATTAACGTTATCAATTAATCTCGTTAATCTGTGTGACTGAGGGGTTCCGGTAAGTGATGGCTGGGCACCAGCAAGCTTTTTAACAGTGCGTTGGAACTGGTAATTGTCAACTAATGTAAGGTCTATAGTCCAGGTTTTCCTTTGACATATTAAAATATGGGGAGAAACACTGTTGCTGTCTGCTTGGTAGGTGTGATTAGCAGCTTGCTGACATCACTGCTTTCTCTATATTATATATTAACAAAATATTTGAATTATTAAAACAATTACTATAGCTGAACAATTTAGCTTTAGTATTTATTGACCAATAATTCAATCTATAGTCTATATATCTAAATCTATAAGATGTGAATTGGAATGGTTGAAAGTTTATTTCTGTTACACCTCCTTGCAAAAGCTGTATGATTCCGTTTGGTGCTGGGAGCGCTGTCAAATAATGCAGTATTAAACTAATAATCAGCATCTCTTGACTGCTTTGTGTAGTTTCTCCCCCTCCTCCCTAAATCTGCATCTAACATCTCTCCTCAGATGCATCCAGTGATATTCTAAGAATGCCAACTTTAAATGGAGAGCTGAATGGGTTATTGGGAGCAGCAGGCCTTCTGGGAGGCACTGATCGGTCATCCATGTCGGACTCTACCAGACTCATCTCCACGGACCTGTGCAGCACTCAGGAGTGTCAGATAATGTATGTCCGTTACTCATTTAACGTCAACGGAGTGCAGTCTCTCCTCTATTTGAAATTTATGATTTAAAATGAAAAACGTTTTATTAAGCACCTAATGTTTGTTAGCAAACTAAGTCAATATTAAACTTGAGTGGGCATCCTGCAATTTCAGCTGCCTTTCTGGTGATGATGGTTCCACCTGTACCCCCATCACCTCCAACAACGTGGAGATAGTGGCAAGTCAGGATACCAGCATCAATAGCAAGGCTCGTGGCAGCAACAAGGTAAGAAGCCGAATCATCAGCATCAAACTATTACAGAAATGGAAACCCACGAATCACAACCATGTTCGACAGTGAAGCTGGTCGGGACGACTTACCGGAGTGACGAGTTTGCTTATGCACACGAGATGAGCGATGGAGTTTTATAACAAATGTCAGATTCCTGAATGAAATGGGGAAATTATTTATTTTTAAAGGCGTAAATGATGACAAGAGTAAACCACCTTCTTCTATGCTTCATTTTGGCCTTGGTTATGGAAAACCACAACCCTGTGGTTAAAGCAAGTAACAATGATCTTTTTTAAGAGTTTTAATTTTTCTCATGCAGGTAAAGATTCAACCTGTTGCGAAGTACGACTGGGAACACAAGTATTATTATGGCAGACTGATTGCTGTCTCCAACTCCTTCCTGGCCTATGCCATCAGAGGTGAGTCATTGACTTCCTGTTTCTATCTATTTATATCTTCAAATGACTCAAACATTTAAAAAGTACATGAGATTTTTAAAACGAGAAATGCTGCCACATTTTCTCGAATCCTAAAACAATTTTTTTTATTAAAACACAAACAAAGAAATCGGTGTATAAACACTAATGCTGCTTGGTATACTGATAGTAGAAAGGTGTGACAAGAAGTAAAAAGGGGTATGATAAACCATACTTTTAAGTATGACTGTGTTGTCAGAGGAGTGCGTGTGTTTATGTGGCCGTGTGCAGCACTGGATCAGGAACCAGAGGCTTGCAGCAGCCAGACGCTATAACTGCCGGTTGCTGGGTTTAGCTGGGGTCAGCCAGAAGGATGCAGTCAACAAATGATTTTTAAAGGAGATTAAAGCAGGTCATGAACCTCACTAGCTGTGCTCTGCTGCTCTAAGCTGGCTTCTTCATCAGCAGAAATGTACCAATACAACTTCTGAATCTGTGGATTCGGTTTTTACATAATCAGATAAGCACTTGTGTTGAAGCATTCTTCCGTTCAGACAGGTCTGTCTCATCAACTTGAAATGGACAGAAAAGTAAAACCATTACGTTCATAAACAGCATGTTGACACAATTCAGCATTTCTACTGTTACGTTGGTGTTTGAGCAGCTGTTCCCCTCACGACTGCATTTGAATTCATCACCATATGTGGGTTTTTGTTTTAAAAACCTTTCACCTTCTTACTTACTGTAGTAGCACCACCTGAACTCTTACTTATGCATAGGCTGGAGCTCCCTTTTACAAAACTATAAACAAAGTATTTTATAAAGCTGTTAAATGGGACATTTTGGTTTGATACATTTTTCTTTTAGAATTAGTTTTCTCAAAGTTTATTATGGCAATGGTCTAATATTGGTATGGAGCAGTGTTAATTTCGTCGATGAAAACTATGACGAAAATTTTTCGTTAACGAACCTTTTTTCCATGACTAAGACGAGATTAAGACGTGACAAAAACAATCTTAAAAAATAAAAACTATGACTAAATCTATTCTAACTTTCGATAACCAGACGAACATGTTACTTTTTCCCCCTAAATTCGCCCGCAGACAACAGACAACAGACTGGCAAAGTGCAGCGGTTATTAACGTGTCATGATGACGTCATGTACGAACCCAGAACGCTTGCAGCGCTGCAGCGTTGGTTCTTGTGCACCGACTACGGACCGCGACGAATATTTTACGCTTCGGCGAGTTTGAATGTGGCTTCGTTAGTTTAGCTCAGCTGTCTCGGTTTAGCTGACTGTTAGCAGGCTGAAGCCGCGCTGCTTCACAGAAACATGAAGACCCGTTTAAAGACTGTCGGACCTTTCTGCTCTGTTCTCTGGCGACGGCAGGCAGCGTTTCCTCGGTGGATGAGACGCTCCGTTACAGGCTTCTCTAAACACGTCTAACGCAATAAAGTCACACACTTGCGAATTTGTTAAATTGCCTTGCAAATCCATATCCTTTCATGTAATGATTTTTCACATGTCATTTATATTCGCTCACACAAACACTTCAACCATTTGTTCTTGGCCCGGCTCCTCCGTCACATTTTACAACCCATTGTGGCCCGCGAGTCAAAAAGTTTGCCGGCCCCTGATATAGACCTGTCCTAGGAGGGACATCTATTGGACAACCGAGTACTGCAAGCTAGACTATTGTGCAGCTGTAGACACAACACAGGGGGTCCCTGGGCCTGAGAAGGGAAGAAAAGGAGTTTAATATGGCTATTTAATGTGACAAATGTGCTAAAACTAGACTAAAACAATTACATTTTAGTCTAGTTTTCGTCAACTAAAACTAGACTAAAATGTTCTGAGTTTTTGTCGACGAAAACTAGACTAAAACTAAAAAGGATTAAAATGACTAAATGTGACTAAAACTAATATGCATTTTTCGTCTAAAGACTGAGACTAAATCAAAAATAGCTGCCAAAATTAACACTGGTATGGAGATATTAAGCCATGTGTGGTATTTAAGTACCGAGGTTTGATATTGTGACCACTAATAAGGATTACATTTTCTTTCCCACTTGTGGAGGGATCTAACCACAAGAATAGAGCGTAGCTAAATGCTCACAGCAAACCGTGACCATGTTGCTCTTGATAACACCCACTTCACTGTCAAACCAGCAAACCATCCATGTGTGCTGAGCACTATCGGGGGCTAGCATTCTAGTTTTGGATTTTCTCCCAATTTTCTCCCTTCCTCCTGCTTTGACAGAATGTTGATGCATGACCACCTGTGATACCCCAGGTTCCATGTTTAATCTTCATTGAAAGCCACATCTGTCCCCCCCAGGAGCCAACAACCATGCGATGATTCGCGTCCTGAGTGTGACTTTTGCCGAGCGCTCTCTGCTGAAGGGCTTCACCGGAGCTGTTACAGATCTGGCCTTTGCTCACCTCGACTCCTCGCTGTTGGGCTGCGTAGATGAGGCGGGCAACCTCATGGTCTGGCAGCTCACCTGCACTGGAAGCAAGATATTGTATCATTACATGTCGGAGAGATTCAAAGGGAGTGTGTAGGAGGGTGTGACGGTCTGTGTATTTCTCAGGCCATATTCAGTTAATGGTTGGCTTGTTTACTTCATCTGGTTTTTCGTGTGTACTTTTTAACTGCAAATAGTCACTGGCAGCATGCCAAACCTCATGGCGACCTCTTTTGGCAGTGATCACTGAAGATATAAATGGTCTTTTGCCTCATCTTCCTTAACCCAACGGCCCTCCAGTGATCAGGTGGTAGTTCATATCCGACGGCCGGAGGACTCTCCGCTGAACTCCCACCGTCGCCTCATCTGGTGCCCGTTTATCCAGGATGACAACCAGGACGACATAAGCCAGACGTTAGCCCTTCTCCACGAAGACTTGGTATGAATGTTTTTGCTGCCAAAATGCATCAGGCGTAGATAAAACCAGAACCGTTACCCCCCTAATTCACCCCCACTCTCCTTCCGTAGGCGGAGGTGTGGGACCTGGAGGCGTTGAGAGCCAACCACAGCAGTTGGCCTGTGGATGACACGGACGTGAAAGAAGGCCTCATCATAGTCAAGGGACATACCCAGGTAGGAGACAGGGTAGAACCAATGGAACCATTCCTAAGTCTCTATTCAATGCAGTAGATAGCATACTTGCAGACAATCATTTCTATTTTCATTAGAAAAGAAATGACATTGTAGTAAACTAGAGGTAGAAAGTTTTCCATCCGTTCCTTGCATCACTGACTGAGTGTTGTTTGGTGTCTGCCCCTCCAGAGGGTCAGTGAGGGGGCTCTGTCTCCGGATGGAACAGTGTTGGCCACAGCCAGCCACGATGGGTACATCAAGTTCTGGCAGATATACATCGAAGGGGTACAGGACAAGCCACGGTAGGCATTTACTTTCACACGTCACCCTGAAATGTGAATGTGGTCTGCTTTTTTTCTGCCTCACCTGCTCTGCACGCAACTGTGCTTGTGGTTTCTCACACCATATCTGCGTCTTTCTTTCATCCCCGTTGCCCAGGTGTCTTCATGAATTGCGGCCCCACGGAGGACGTCCCCTCTCCTGCCTTCTGTTCTGCGACAACCACAAAAGACAGGACCCCGAGTCAGTTCCCACCGGCGCCCACACTCAGCTTCCTGTGAAAATTGTGACGGACGTTTAATAATTTGAGGCTGTTTCTTTTTGTTTACCTTCTCTTTTCTCCTCTGCTCTTTTGTAGCGTTCCTTTCTGGCGGTTCCTTATAACTGGAGCGGATCAGAACCAGGAGTTGAAAATGTGGTGCACTGTTTCCTGGACCTGCTTACAGACCATCAGGTTATTGCTTAAATCATTCCTGCTATCTGCAGCTCATCCCATTTATTAACATTGCTGTTTCAAGTTACTAATGGTGCTGTTTTTATTTCATCTTGTAGGTTCTCACCAGATTTGTTCAACTCCTCAGTTCTACCAAGTCTGAAGGCCAGTCTGGACCTCGCTTCGGAGTACCTCATCCTCACTGACGTACAGAGGAAGGTCGGCACAATGTTTTCAGCTCTGTGCTTTGGCTGATGTTCATGAATAATCACGGTGAACTGCTGATGTTCCTCCTTAATGGGCACATTTCAAGCCTTTTTCTTCCACTTTATGAACACAAAAGCACTCAACCCTCAGAGACCCAGAAATACCTATTTTAGTCTTTTTTTATTGGTTTCGGGGGAGATGCAGAATATATTTGGTATAAAGCCTCAACCTCACCATCTGAATGACGGGAACGCTCTGCTGCGTTGACTTTGGACACTTGGATTTACCATGAGAATTCAATTTTTTGAAGATTGAACTTCTGTTGTGGAGACTGCAAAAAGAAGTAGTGTCAAAGCCGTACGTCCCTCAGTTTTAGTTAAGCCGTTAGTTAAGCTATTAAAGTTTCATACGGTTGTGATTATTTTGTCACAACAGGTAACTTTATAAATGGCGATGAATTGTTTTCACTATAAAATGAAAACGACTGCTTCGGGTTATGCGTGGGATTAGTATAAAGTGGGTACTTCTGCATAAGGGCAAATTGTGTGGCTTTACCTATTTTTCAGGGAGCGGTCAAAAGACCCACTAGAAAATTGCCTTGCAAGTATCCCTTCAACGAAACGTAATGTAATTTTTGTTATTCCGTCCAATGCCAGACAAGCATGTCTGTACCTGTGGATTAATTAGGTGTTCTTGTTTCATATTAAGACTAAGCTCGCTGCAACTTCTTAGTAAATCGCAAAGGCCCAGACCGTCCGGTGATCCTTCTCGTTCCAGATGGTTAAACCCTGATTAAATAAAGCCTTCTTTGCCTATGCAACATGTGAGCCGGCCAGGTAGATTTAATATTCTTTAAAGAGCCACTCAAAACTTCATGTGGTTAGTATGTCCGCTACAACGGTGCATTATTTTGTATATAAGTGTACCCACTATACCACTTTATCCTGGCCCCCAGCCTCCGGGGCCCTGAAAACACAGATTTGGGTCTGGGGTGGTTCGGGACGTGTATTTAAAGATTCCAGTGTCGAACAATAAACTAATCACAAAAAGAATATAGCAATGTTGCACATCACATTACACAGCCGAACAGGGGCTACAAGAATACATAAGCCATAGTTACATTCTCCAAACATAACTCAAACAACGCCTACCGCAATGACCAAATACAATAGGACAGGATTTAGAAAACCCATTTAAACACGTGCCACGACCTTGAGCTAAACATACCAATGACATTATTCAAGAAAGCAGTCAGCCGGTTCCAGAGATTTCAGCAAACCCCTCGGCAGCACAACAGCCAAAGAACGTCCACAACAGGAATCCGAAAAAACAAAAAACATTTGTTGAAATTCACGTACCATAGTGGTTAGCCATGATAAGAGTTTTCTTCCGCTTTAAAAAACTCCTGTTACAGTCAATCACTTCAGGAGCTTCTTGGGCCTTTTTTTGGTGTCATAGACTTGTGCTGATTCTGGTTGGCTGACAGTGCTGTTGATCTCATTCTGATGAGACCAGTTCAATTGTAAAGGCTGTAAAGATTCCAGTGAGCTGTCAAACATGTAGAAGTAGCCCTGCGGCATATAATGATCCAAAAACCCAAATTCTAGAGAACTTGCCTGAACTTTCTCTACTAACACCATCCCTAAAAATGTGCCCTTCACTTTGTCAACATCCACAGGAGCTGCATAACATGTTATGATGTGGTAAGGGTTTAGAGTTATAACGAGGATAACCGTCCTCAAAGAGCTTTTTATTTGAGGCGAACCTCAAACGTTTTAATTTGCGCAGCATGCCATCTTCATTTACTCTGAACCTGAAACACACATACTGACATTTACATATCGGTTCTCACCAGTGTTTCATTTATTAGACTATTTATTAGATGTTTTTTGTTGCGGGAATGCAATTTTCGAGCAGGGGCCTAAAAATGGCTACGGGCTGTGGAAGCCAGCTTCATACTCTGCTGACGCCCTTCTCACCAGGTTCTGTATGTGATGGAGCTCCGGCAGGACCTAGAGAAAGGAAAGGGCAGTTTTACAGCAGTGTCAGAGTTCCTGCTGACTCACCCCGTGCTCAGCTTTGGGATCCAGGACGTCTCCCACTGCAGACTGCGACACACCGAGGTTCTCCCCGCTGAAGAGGAGAGCGAGAGTATGACCACAGGTGAAGCCACAGATTCTGTTACATTCACATTGGCCGGTGAGCCAATGATGTCCTTTGAGTGCGTCATGGTGTCGGTGTGTCGTCAGTGACCATGTTGCCAGTTAATGTTAAACTTGACAAATAGGTGAATTTGGTGATGAGCTTAACTCCCGCAACGTTAGGCGTGTTCAGTGACCGCAGGAGGCTGCCTCCGCCATGCCGCGCCTCGCTGACTGCTCTTAATGTTTACCACCACAACGGACGAAAGCGCAAGCTATTTTATGTTATTTGTTCGACAATAACCCTTGAAATTATAATTTGACGTATTTAATCTAGGAGCTATTGGATGCAACTGTGGATGCAACATTATTACGTTTAGTTCCCGCAAACAATGTTAACTTGATGACGTGATGCCAGATACCTGCACTAAACCCCGCTCAGATGACAAGGCTAAATGTTAGCCACAACTAGCCATGTTGGAATACCACCATAGAGCATGAATCGGAATATTCCATTGCACAAAGTAACTTCAAGCTAATATCGTAGCTTATGCATGACTGCGTGTTGCAAAAGAAATTTCCCAAAGTCAACAAAGAGATCACTTGACCGACTGCTCTCGTTCTCACTCCAGCCGAACATGACATAGACGACTGGTGCAACAAACCCGTTGACTTCTCTCATTCACTGAGTGAAGTAACTGCAGAACACAGAGCTGGCCAACACATTTGTACTATGACATTAACCAAATTCAACTCGCTGTTTATTTCCTGGATTTCTTCTAAACAAATGCTTAAACAACACAGCTGTACTCAGCTGAGCAAAGACACACACATGGCTAACAACTGTACACCACTAGTTGTGAAGTGGATGCAATTAAGCGGGGAAAGAGTGAGACATCTAGTGTCCGTATGTCATCAATAGCACCTTGAAATGTGTTGCAGTATTGATACTAATTAGGTATTTGTGGGGGGTTTTCTCTTCCAGAGGGCACGCAAGGACTAACAGAGTCGAAGTCTGGGATCCAGATTAAACTTTACTGTGTCCACACCAAGTACGTTTCTTCCTGCAGTTCGATGTCAGGGTTTGGCTTGTTGGCTTGAGTTTTTAAAAAAGCATGTTTTTTATCGTTTCCGAGAAGCAATTTGGTTCAAATTAGTCAAAACCCAAGACCATCTTTTTATTTGTGCCAGTCTGGGTAAGGGAACCTCGCTGTTTAAATGCTTTGTGGTCTGGGACAGGAGATATGCAATGGGCCATGGCTTGATAGTAAGTCCTAATTGAGAAACACTTCTTTGTGCTTTCGTAGGAGTCTACAGGATGTCCAGATCTGGTTTCAGCCCAGCTCTCCAGTTTTCCTTCCCAATTCTGATACTCAGGATGGTTTTGGTAAGTCACAGTCCAAGGACAAATCCCTGTGAATGATGGATCACTGCGTTCACAGATGTTCTTCTTCTTACTGCAGAAACGATGTATCAACTCAACGTTGGTGTTTCTTTGGAAGCCGACCATTAAATTAGGAATAGGCAGTGAAGCAATTCTCCCAAAAATCGGACTACGCCTTTTGGTTCTTTTGTACGTCAAATACATCCTCAGAAAGGACCTACTCGTTTTTGTGTCCAGCAGGCTTTTCAGACAATCTCACTGACCACAGCTCGGACAAAGAATCAGGGAGCGGCTCCCAAACTGACCTAAGGAAGATCCCCTCTCTTCCTGCTACCACTGACTTCCTGTCAACCTCGGGGGCTAACAGTGGGACCAAGCTAATGACTCCAGATGCCTTCATGACACCAAGCACTTTGGTACAATCTCTTTCCATCCTCGTCCACTGCTTCCCTCCAGGATTCATTAGAGCAGTTTTGGTTGCTGTAGTGAAACTCCAGCATCAACCAGTTTACAAAATGGTCAAAAAACACTTCAACCAAAGAACATGCTTGAAACTATTCCTGTATGTTGCCTAGCAACAGCTTTCCCCATGAACAGCACTGTCCTCCTGCATATTGTGCCACTACTGAGAGACACAAGGCCGTAACCCTGTTTATCATCAGTCTTCTCAAACTGAACTCGCCTCATGCTGATCCAAAGATAAAGCGAAAGGCTGGGAGATCCAGCACGAAGTAGAAGATTTATAATATTAATATTATCTGCAGCTTTTTAAATGTGGCTGTCATGAGAATTTGGTTGAGATGTGACCTGATGTTGCCTTAGTTAAGTTCAGTCCAAGTTTGTCCAAAAATAATGCTGGTTGGAAATTCATGTCAGCTGTCGTTGTGTGTGTACATATAGTTGTTCTTGTTTTTTTTACCAATGATTGGTGGTTTTCAGAAACATTTAATCATAATTGCATCTTGTTAATGACTTTATTTGTCTGGTTCCAGGTACCAGCATCCCCGGGCAGCAGCGCCAGCAGTCTGACCGTTGTGACAGCGATCAACAGCAACTCTGACTTAACTAACGGGTGAGCTAAGATTGTTATTAAGATAAGATTAATACTGACCATTTTGAATTTAGAATATGATAATAAAGGAAACATCAATTCCATCTACATCCTCGTAGCAGCTCAGTGGGGTTGTGTGGGCTGTTATGTAGAATGTGCTTCTTCATTGCTCGATTCATTCCACAAACAGACAACTGTAAATATTCAATAGAATAACATACACAGTCTCCTGCTCTTGAACATTGACGTCTGTGTCACTGTGTAGCGCTATGGATGAAGTCGGTCAGAGTCCAACCAGAGCAGAGAACAGCAGCAGCAGCAGCAGCCTGACACTTTCCAGCAGCAGCCCAAGAGCTGTTTCTGCAGTGCTTCTGCCTGTACTTGAGAACCTACAGGTAGGACACAGTCCCAACTTCTAACAGCCTCTTGATACACTAAATATGGAAGGCCTTTGCTCTCATTAGCACACTCCTCATCTGCATCCTCAGGCATTAGCATCCCCCAACGGTCCTCTCGCACTGGACAGCCCTCAGGTTCTGGACTCCCCCCTCCTTCCTCCTCTGGCTTCTCCGACCAGAGCCCGCTCCCCCGACGTCATCTCCTCGGCCTCCACCGCCATGTCCCAGGATATGCCGGAGATCGCATCGCAGACCCTACAGCTTCAGCGCAGCCACGTGTCCATTTTGGAGCCGGTGCCTCTCTCCGCCCTCCAGACGGACAGCATGGCTTCCGCTGCATCTGCCCTGCACCTGCTCACCTCCCCGCGCTCAGCCAACAACGGGTATGTTTACTGAAATAAGAAGATCTGTCGGCAAAGTATGTCTATCGTTTTAACAAGCATGCATTCAAAACATGTTTGTCTGGGATTAAAAGCATACAGACAAACCTTGTGAAAACTTCACTGTGGGCCTCATTTTCTGTCTCAGCCTGTTGCCGCCCGAACTTGGGGGTGCAGATGGTCCGGTGGGCGGGGCAGGAGGAGATTCTGAGCACAGACTCAGCCACACCCCGTCCCTGCTGGAGAACGCCTTATTGCAGGAAAACCCCGGGGTCGGTGGAGGCTCTTCAGACGGCAATGTGGGCCACACATCGTGGCCGGCTGCGCCCGACATCACCAGGGAAACCAGGAACAATCTAAGGGACAACGACCTCGGAGAATAGTAAGCGTTAGAACATGCAAATACATTCAACAAGTAAAAACACAAACATTTCCACGGGGGATAAGGAAGGTTTTACCTGGGATTATGTCTAATGGAGGGAGAGATGGACTACAGACAAAGAGTTGCTTATGATGTATCTTTGAGATTTTCAATGGCACGCCTGAATATTTAACTGATTTGGACTTTGTAGATGAAGCCTAAACCTCTTTTCAAAACAAGATACAATAACAAACGGATCGAGTGACAATCTGAGGTTGTCCGTCGCAAAAAAATGATACCTGGAGGATAACATTGCAGCTCATTCAGGATCTCAATACTGGTCCACTTTAAAGTATTGCTCAACCAATTTGTTACTTGGACTAAAAAAAACTGGTTTGAAAAATGATGAAGCTACCAATTATCATTTAAAAGTACATAAAGTGAAAAAATATAATAAGCCAAGGGATGATATGGCGTTAAAAAAATGACACAACCGTTCTTTCATGTCTGTTGGAATTGTTGTGATGTTGGTGTCAGAAACTAAAGCCAAAAGTGTCCGCTGTGTTGTAGTTCGAGAGAGGAGTCGAAGGACAGAAGCCTCAGCTCACCTTACCATCGGCGCTCCTATCACCTCACACAGATCGACAGTCAGGACGCCGGCGGGGAACAGAGGTAACGCCGACGAAAACACACCGTCCTTTTGTTTGTGCAGAAAAGACACGTGTACAGTGTCGAACTAGAAGAGATTAATCACAAAACGGGGAACTTGACAAATTCAGTGATTTTAATTCCAGCCCCAATAATGATCGAGGATTTGATGGATTTGAGGACCTCAAAGCGCAGGCGTACGCTCTGCTGCGTTGATTGACAGCAGCTGTCTCACTGGTTGTGTCTGTATGTTTCTGTGTTTGACCCAGTGACCCGAACGATGAGGGGTCCGGCCTCGTATCATCCACAGTAAATTGCGGCTCTCGTTCCTCTCACCGACTACCGGTTAAGGACTGGAAGACCTCACCACGAGCCTCGCCCAAAGTGAAGAGGAAGACCAAGAAAGATGACGGGTAAGTCGATGTTTGCTAGTGAAGCAATCGCTGTGAAAGAACAAGTGCCTCTGTGTGTGAAGTCGGTAGGCCTGTCGCAATATGCGATAAAATTATATATCGCACATTCTCTGAAATCGTGTGCAATAATTTTTGGTGGTGCGATATTCATTTTACATATAAAGAAACGTCACCCACATTTAAGCGTGCACACAGACAGCGGACACCGACTGGTGAAGAGAAGCAGTGAAGCCAACTAAGATAACTAAGCTAAAATCTTACCCAAAACAACAACCATCCGCCCGGTCTTTCAACCTGAACTACTGTCGGTTCCTCCGGACTGCTCGTTCGCCTCTTTGGGCGGGAGGAACGCTGTCCCCCGCACCGCCGTCCTGCTTTCCTCCCGAGCCGGCCGATTGTTAGCGGCGCCGGGCCGCTCTGTCTCTCCCTGGAGCCGCCGAGCACGTTGCTCTGCCGTTGGTCGAAGCTCCGCGTTAAACCTCCCCGGCTGCCGCGGTGTGCCTTTCCGCAGGACACATTTTCTCGAGCCCAACCGCGTCGCCCCAAGCCCGATGCTTCGCCCGCTCTGTGTCCCTTGCACTTATTATTATTTTTGTATTATTTATATAGGATATATTTTTTCATATTCCGATTCTAATGTCTAACTATCCTGACAAATAAAACGTTATTTGTTCTTTGAAATGGAATACTTTTATTACTATGCTATTATATTTTCATTATGTTATCCGTGGCATAAAATGGTCTGAAAATTGGAATAATATCGCAATAAATGTTGCTGCAATAATCGCACAACAAAAATGTGATATTGTGACAGCCCCAGACGTCGGGTTGAAAAGGTGTTTGTGGTTTCAGCTTCGAACTGATTTACAAAAACATGAGTGAAACCTTCAGTTGACTTAATCTCATACTGTGAATGCCGCGGAACGGACAAATAAATAGGATATTGGCACCACTATCAATGATAGAGAGCCCTGAGGAGGCAATTACCTACGGAGTTCCATTAATGTAGAAACAAAAACGATACAATCACAAGTGTCTTTTAAGCTTTTTCTGATGTTTTCCCGGATGCGTGTTCACTGTGAGACTGCGTTGCCGTTTTACTTCCACTGCTCTTCACAAAAAGTAACTGGAAAAATAAATAAAGAGCTCCCAATACACCTCTGAACTTGATTTGGCACAGAGTGCTTTTGACAGTTTTATGGCTACCATTCAGACAAAGACACAGATGTGTTTGTAGCACCAGATGCCGTATTAGTAGCAGACTACAGTTGACCAGATATGCTTAGAGTGAGGCTCAATATTGATCTTTCAATCTAACGTTCAACAACGTTAAACTTTTCAGTTAGTTGAAATATTATTGGTAAAAGTTCTTACTCATGCTTTCTCATTCTCCTCAGGGAATTGTCTCAGTCCAGGCAAATGGACTCTGGTCAGGTAAGGTGATCATGAACATAACTGCAACAATGTTACTATCAATGGAGGACGATATATTTTGTATTTGATTTGTTCTCTTGGAAACGCATGATAGATTATCTATTGTTAATCTACTTAAAAAAACAACAACATGTGTTATCGAATTGTTTCCCACTTTTATCAATGCGGAACTAATGATTAAGTAATTTATGTGTCTCATCAGCACTGAAAAAGATCTGCCCTCCACTCTTAGATGAATGCCGAAGTGCAGGACGAGCTGCTGATGCTCCTGCGTAGCCAGCAGAGGGAGCTCACTGACCTGCGTGGGCAGATCGAAGCCATGCAGAGCACCATCATGGCCCAAGTTGAGCACGTCCTCACCAACCACCAGGAGCAGGAGCGTATCCTTCTGGCTTTTTCTCAGCTCACGGACTCATTGTCGCAGCTTTGCGAGTGGAACGCGACTACGAACCGATGGGTTTGAGTTCCCCAAAAGAGCCGTAGACGCTAGCAAACATGAATTTATTTTAGCAATCTGAGGCCTGGAGTTACCTGGAGCAGTAGGCCACAAAAGGCTTCTGTTTATGGGAGGATATTTCTAACCTATGGTTGCATACTAACTAACTAACTTAAATACACAACCAATCATCATGTAATGCAGACTGTAATGTAATATTACTCCATGGTAGATTAACAATATGTCTTCCTTTGCGTGACATGAGTTCATCGATAAATGTAATAATATGCAGTAGTACTTTACGGCAGGTATTGTAATGGTACGTTCACACCGAACCGTTTCTCGCGGGGAAGTCAGTGCTATTTTGAGGAAAGTAGTGTCAAACGCAAAAGTTAAAATATTCCATCTTTGGCGACAAGACACTGCGGCGCGATACAAACTGCCCCTTGTCGTCACTGACATCCTGCAGACTGAGCTGTACGATACATCTTCGTACCTTTATTGCAACCGGTCTGGGAAAGACCTTGCACTTTTAACAAACCGCATATAACCATATGTGCCTTTTTACAATATCCCATCACTGCACTGAATATAGTACAATTAAGTCTAGGATAATTATATTTTTTTAACGACACACTGATACAAAAAGGATATTTGTTCAGTGAAAATGTGTGTGTGTGGCTCTAAAGAGCCGTTTGGTTGTGCTTAAGCAAGCAATGTCTCTCCATGGGACAGGACCCTCGGCATGGAAGTATGATGCGACAGCGGTGAGGTCCAGTGCCCGAGCCGAGCACCGGCTAGCACCATGTACTGCTGGAAGCGCCAGTCATCCAGACGAAGTTTCTGTTGGTGAAATTCACCTATAGATGCTATTTACTACAAAAACACGACGTTTGAAGGTCAGACATTAGTAGGACTTACACAACAAATACAGAGTTGCTATGTCTTTCACGGTTAGTGCGGAGGAAAAACAATGGCAGATGGTGGTTAACCACGCCCCCTCTCCGTTGTGTCAGGCGCGAATACGCAACACACGCAAATTGACCACAAATGATCCCCATGAGTCCTGCGGTGCGTTTAGAGCGATTGAGGCAACGCGTTCAGTGTGAACGTACCATTAGGATGAGGTGAGTATTTCGGTGTGAACGGTACATCATACATGTGAGCTCCATCCCTTTTACTCTTAAATTTCCATTAACGTCATCTTGTTTTCTTTTCTTCATTCAACATTATATTAACTCTAAACATTGCAGTCTGCCATTGTACAGTCCACAATGCATTATGGGACAAGTCATGTACTCTGGAAATCAAAGTATTTCTCCCAGACATAAATCCCACATCCCACACAGCTCAATACATGTGCTTTCAAACACGGCTCTCATCTTTTCTCATGGATTTTTACCGAGCTGTTGATGATTTGTCCTCTGCATATTGTTGCGAGCCTTGACCTCTCGTGACCCCAGAGCGGAGACTAGAGCGGGTTCTGGCAGAGAGACAGAGTGACCAGCAGCAGCTTCAGGAGCAGCTCATCAGCACCCTTAGCTCGGTGCTAACCAACAGGATGGACAAAGTGCTCCGTGAGGAAATAAAGAAGACCGTCCCACCAAGTGAGCACATGCACATTAACAACAGGCCCAAACAGTTCTACTCTGACCGCGTGGACTGCGAGAGAGTGGTCGTCGACGTTTGTTGCCAGATGAGGGGGGTTTTGCTTCCATTTTGTTATTTTGGCAGTAACAGTCGAGGATGGTTTTAAGCATCATTAACATTCTGCTGAACCTCTTCTCCATCCTCTTACAAATCTTTGCTTTTTTGTGTTGTCGCTGTCCAAAGTTCTTCAAAAATGGGTTTCTGAATGACACTTGAAGGTGTCTTGTAATGTTTTGTTAAACTTTCTTTTCTAACTTATATTTACAAATGGGTTTTCTTTCTCGTCATCGTGCACCTCAGACAGCTCTGTATTTAGTTTAGGAATTTGCTTTCCGAGTTTTGGGCGTTTTGCAGCAGGGCAGCTGCATTTATGTTTGTGATGCAATGATTTTTTTGGCTGAACATCTGACTGCCTTTGCCTTGACTGTCCTCTGGCAAATGAGATGGCGTTCACCTTGCGTCGTGTAGAATCAGGGATCCCATCGGTGGCAACCGATAGATAACAATTGCGTCTGGGAATAACCCAGAGAATCGGTCACTAAACTCTTTTAAAACTGGCCTGGAAACCTTTTTATTCACGAAGGCGTTTTTTACGCTAACTTTTCTTTTTTTTTTTTTTTTAAACTGTTTTGCTATCTCTGTCGCACTCTGAGGTCTGCTGATGAAGAGTGAATAAAACGTATTATTATGATCTACTTGGGGCCCTCTTATAATCCGTCCCCTCTCTTCTCCAGGCATCTCTAAAAGTCTGGAGCCGGTGACGGGGCATCTGAGCAACACCATCGCTGCCAAGCTGACCGCTGTGGAGATCACACTGAAGGACAATGTCAGCAAGGTGGTCAAGTCCAAGGCAAGTGGATGTTGTCCCCCCCCCCCCCACACACACATACACAGTCCCCCTCCTGCCCATCTCACTGTAAACGCTTGTGTTACAGAACACGACGGATGCGATTGGTCGAGCAGCGGCCGAAGCGATGCAGGGGCCCATCCAGGCGGCCTACAAAGACGCCTTCCAGAGCATCGTGCTGCCGGTCTTTGAGAGAGGCTGCCAGTCCATCTTCCAGCAAATCAACAACAGCTTTAAACAAGGCACTCAAGAATGTAAGGCGGTCAAGCAGCGATGTGTTGTTTTGTCAGCAAGTAAATAAATGCAGTAATATATCACGAATATCACTATGTATCCCACGGCAACACAAGATCAATTAAACATTCCTTTCAGTCTCTGGATGTCCAGACACGAGAATGTTCTGCTTAAGGCTCTTCTATTGGTGCTTTACCTGCAAATCTATTTAAATAACCAAGACTGTTATAATGTGTACAAAGGGGAGAAGCACACTTCCCCTGCAGTAAATGGGGAGGCCACAGTACTCCTATGAGCGTGTGCGCCCTTGTGAGCTTGTTCCAATTTAATTTGTAATCCCTGACCAAATTGTGGGTTAATCTTTTTGTGTGTAAATATTGATTGTAACTTTTGTGAATGCTGTGTTAAGATCCACACTGCTCCCTAGCTACAGTGGTGTCGTTAAAAGCCATATTTTCTCCTTGTTTCTGGTGCATATTATGACGCGCAAAAAGGCCACAGGTGTAATATTTTTCAATACATCACGCAATGTTTCCCGTAAGTCGTCGTATTCCTGGAAGGACGTAAAATCCAATTCTGTATTTTGAGGACTGATTTTTCTGTTCACCTTCATCTCCGTAGACATCCAGCAGCTCGAGAGCCACATGAAGAACAAGAAGCAGAGAGAGCAGGAGACACAAGACCCTGTGATCAGCCAGCTCCAGCAGACCATCGAGACCTTCCAGAGCTCCACCGATCAGCTGGCCAATAACATCACGGCTAATGTGCGGGCCGAGGTCCAGCATCAGATCCAGATGATGGTGGGAAAGTATGTGTCCTGGAGAGACCACACCGTCAGCTGCTTAAGATTAGAAAGCTGTTTTTTGGTTTTATTTATTTTTTCACACTTAAGTATAGGATCTAGTCCATCGCTCTAAATATGGGCCTGCTGCTGTTAACTTTCATTCGTCGTAGCAATTGATCCGATAGCAATGATTAACATTCCAGGCAGATGTGCGTATCAGCAGCTGCCTCTGCAATAAAGCCCTGGCCTCACCCACTGCCTATTGAGCAGGTGCATATTGGGGCCGGAGAGGAGAAACAAGCAAGGCTTAATTGGTACCGCGGCCCGGTGGTTGGGGACCACTGCTCTAGAGTTCATAGATGTGTCGGAGGGAAGGGGGTGGAGGAGGGACAAAGTAGTTGGTCTAAAACTTTGCTGTCTTAAAGGAATTGACAAATGGAGATGGAACATTACATTTTTTAAGTAATAGCTTAAAGGTTATGGTAACAAACAGAAGGTAACGCCCTCAGAAAGTGTTGGAATGGGTGTCCCTTGATTGGGCCATCCCACTACGATCCACTAAAACCCTCATTATTTCTCACGTTCTGTCCCTCCTGCGGTTTGTCTCTTCTGCAGTTTGCAGGAGTCGATTCTGAGCCATGTGCAGCGAATCGTCAAAGGCGAGGTGAGCATGGCGATGAAGGAGCAGCAGGCGGTGGTCACCTCCAGCATCATGCAGGCGATGAGGTCAGCGGCCAGCACTCCCGTCCCCACAGCGCACCTCGACTACCAGACGCAGCAGGCCAACATCCTGCAGCTCCTCCAGCAGGGCCAGCTGAACCAGGCTTTCCAGCAGGTAACACACACACACATACAGCGTTAACCAGGTGTTTTGCTGTTCACATTGCGTGCTCAGCAGCTGAGCTGTATTTCCAAACTTTTGATAAATCTTTGTACATTTAGTGTATTAACTGCTGCAGACTCATCTCATGAGATGTTTATACGAAGCAGCATGTCAGTGAATGGAAACCCATGCTGACACACATTAACCCATGTGGCAGAAGGAAAAAGCTTCCCTTTTCTTCAGCTTCGGCATAAAAGACTTTTTTTTTTTTTGGTGCGGGGTAAATTTGTTTTTTAAACAGTAATTACTAGTCACTATCAAAATGCTTAAATGTGTTTGGGATGCATGCGGATACACCGCCTCCCCCGTAGCAGACTGACATGGCCAAGAAAGACGACCGTACTTTCTTCAGACATTTATCTGGATGGCTTTACATTACATTACATTACATTACATTTAGCAGACGCTTTTATCCAAAGCGACTTACATTACACTTTAAACCCATGGCTTTTCACATTTTGCCCAGGGAGCAATTAGGGGTTTAGGCTCAGGGACACTTCGACTTGAGACATGGGGCAGCCGGGACTCGAACCACTAACCTTGCGGTTCCCAGCGCTACCCGCTCTACCCCCTGCGCCACGACGACCCTATAGAAGCAACATACAACCAACAAGTCGCTTCTGGCTGGAAGGTTTCTCCCTTTTTAAGCTGTTCCTTCCTTTCCATCCAGGCTCTGTCTGCCACAGATCTGAACCTGGTCCTGTATGTTTGCGAGACCATTGACTCCCAGCAGGTGTTTGGGCAGCACCCGTGTCCTCTCAGCCAGCCCGTGCTGCTGTCGCTCATCCAGCAGCTCTCCTCCAACCTCACCACCCGCTCTGAGCTCAAAATCAGGTGAGGTTATTAACAATGGCGTTCATTTTGTTTTGTCTGCTTATCATTTGTGGATTGTTTCTAGACAAACCCAATCAAGGTCCGAAGACAACTGACACATGACGATGTATTGATATCAGTCAATAATGATGTAAGGAAGCAGAAGGCTTCCTACACAGGAAAGTAATGGATGAGCAATACAAAGTGTTGGACAACATGGATGGTACTGCGATATAAAACATCTGTATTACAGAGTTAATGAGTATCTGCGGTATCTATACATTCTGTGTTTCACCCCACACCACTGTATTAGATGTAAGACTTGTTGAGCTACGCAGCAGCAATAGCGTTTAAAAAAAACAACTATGAAATGTGTCCGTTAGTAGGCAAGGATCGCTAATTAGCACAACCTAGTTATGGGTTAAATAATTAAGTATGCTGCAAATATATGTTGTTTGTTTATAATTCATTCAGGCATCTGTGTAGAGTGCATTGTAGTTTTTCTTTATTGAATCTCAATAGACCAGTACTCCCACAGCAGATTCTTGGCTTTAGATGTTCCCTCCAGCCCACAATGTGGACCCAAATGTCTCTTCTGTCCTCATCGTCTGTCCCCGTTTCAGCTACCTGGAGGACGCCGTGATGAATCTGGACCACGGCGACCCGCTAACCCGAGACCACATGTCCTCGGTGCTGGCCCAGGTCAGGCCGAAGCTCTACACCTTCCTGCAGCAGGACCCCCACGGCCCGCTCAGCAAGAGGGCGCGCCGCCTGATGATGATGCTGCAGGGCCTCGTCAGCCACTAGTGCAGCAGAGCCGTCTCCTCTATAGATAACGGATAACACAAGCCCTTTCTTTTCTTTTTGTTGTAGTTACGAGTGTAGTTGAGCGCAGTTTCTCCAAGGCCCGGGCGGTTGTTGGGTGGAGATAGATTGGAAGACGAGAGTTTGCTTGGTTCGAGAATACAGATCTCCACCCGTCTTCTCCTTTTTTTCTGAACATAACTTGAATGCAAGACAATAATGGTCAGGACAACTCTTAAGTCTGCTGTAGATTCTTTAAGACCTTCGTTTCCACCGCTCCACCAAGAGGTGTCCTGGTCGTAGTCCCTTTTTTACACTACGCATCTCATCAGGCTTGCGGCACCGACACTTTTTTCTTTCTTTTTTTTTTTTTACAATACTGACCAGTATCCTCTTCAGAGCCATCATGGAATTCGGTTGCTGCCAGATTACCGTGTCCTCCGTTGTTTTTTTTTAGACATTCATGTTCCTCCCGGCGACCAGAAGTATGTAACCCTCAAAGACATTTCATGTCGGCGGCATATTTTCTTTCAGTTATTTTGTAATAGGTTGGAGAGGACAACCTTGCCAGGCCGAATGTGTCTCTGTTCTGAAAAAGATCAACAAGCCGCATTGTTGTTAATTGTATTCGTTGCTGCGGTAAGAAATAACATTTATTTTAAATAGAACAAATATTTGCGAAGGTGCCCACGGCTCAAAAGAATTCCGCTTTAACAGTCTGAAATGTTGGGAGCTCGACATTGGGTTCTGCACGCCGTCCACGTGTACATCTGTTTCCCCCCTCCCTTTTTATGTAAACATTTAGCATTCATAAGACCTGTACACCTGCTTTAATAGTTGTCAAACTAGTTATAATACATAAAACACTTGCCGATAATGTTCTTTTATCAGATTATTCCAAATGTTTGTGAAGTCAATGTGCAGTTCCTCCTCATAGACTCTAGGAAGCAGCACTTAGTTGGACTGCAGATGTGCACCCTTCCCGTTATTTTAGGTTTTAGGATGCATTCCTGCTCTTCCAGTATCTGTTTTACCAAACGTTCTGTTTCTGTACTGAGAGCGTAGGGTCATTTGTGTCCGGCCCGTTCACCCCCTGCAGGGCGGCCACACTGTTTTGTTGATTGTAAAATAAAGTTATGTTGGTTTCACCTGCGTGTTTAGAGTTCTGTTGAGTTTAAATTTGTCTAGCAAAGTGCCTTATTGTATTCATGTTTGGGCCTTTAGACAAGTTAAAGCATTATCCCATTGTGGTTCCTTTTCTTTTTAAAGCGTTTGTGTCTGAAACGTTGACGGCTCCAATTGCCAAATATTCAACCCGCGATACATTTGATTTTGGACGGACATTTGAATGATCACGCAACAGAGCGGGAAAGCGATGCCATTCAGACTACTAGCACCTCCACTTCTGGGTTTTCTGTCCTCAGTCCAGAGGACGGGTCAACTCCTAAAGGCGGCGCTGTGTGGGAGAAACAGGCAAGAGTATGCTACTTTTTTTCCTCCGTCCATTCTACGTGGATGCTTATGTTGTATGTTGTATATTTTACATTTTAATTTTACCCATTTTGGAATAATAAAAAAAGTTGTTTACTTGATTGTGTCTTTATTAGTCCTGTACCCCTGCGTAACAGTTGTGACCTAAGGTTCAAGTGAGCGGCTTCGCTGTATTTTCCCTCCATGCTACTAAATTCACTGGACTGCTATGCAGTTCATACGACGCGTTCAACAAATTTTTATATTTTTCTGGATTTTTTTTAGGGCTACAGTGGAATCTCTTGTGCAGAGCGAGTGAGTGAGTGACCTTTCACCCCATTCTGTCCTTGGCTCATCTGCTCTGCTGCAGCAAACTGCATAATGTTTTGGATGGTATTCTCGCAGGCCCAAAGACCTCTAGTGGTTGTAGCGACTCTCAAAACTACTCACAGGCTCAATATCTTTTTTAAACTTTTTGTTTAAATTTTGTTTTCATCCCTGCCCATCATTAATCTCTCGGCCCCTACATATTAATCTTGACCTTTCTGGGGGCTCCAAACACCTGCATTACACTTACAAACGTTTTACAGAGTAGTCGGGTCAACAGATACAAGGATCTTTAAACTGCTGAATTAGACCGTAATCCCGGTTTGGTGACGCTTTCGAACTGCACATTACCTTCAGTCGTATCTTGAATCTAGCACTTCAATTTAAACCAGGGGACTGGTGCTTTGCCTGCAGCTCATCAGAGACACTGCAGCTGTGGACCCTCCTCCTCCTCCCGCGTACGGACGCGCCCTCCCCTCCTGCACTGGAGCGGATGAGCGCGCCGTGGATGCGCTCACACCGCAGCTCGGAGCCGCGCCACAGACGGGAGGGGACAGCTCTCCAAGGGACAGTGGGGGCTCAGCCTCGTCTTCTGGGAGACAACTTTTTTTTCCTTTTTTCTCTTTCATTTTTCCGGTTCCTCCCTGAAACTTGAGAGGTCGGAGGACGACTCGTCGGTGTCGGCATGGCGTCGTCGGTGATCCGCGCGTGTCTCCTCTTGCTGCCTGTTGCTCTGCTGCTGAGTAAGTAGCGTTTCTCTTGTAACTTTCTGTTCCCGAACCACCTTCCACTCCCGCCGCAGTGCCAGGACCGGTTCCGGCTGCGAGTCGCTTTGCGCAAACGGATGACATGGATGCACATGTGTAGCGTGTAGTTCAGAGAGAGTCTTCCGTAGCAGCGTGCTGGCATGGACTTACTGCGAGTTGCAGGGGATCCCGGCACTTCTTCCCCCTCCACGTGCTGCTGCGGGGGAGTTCCGATCGTGACAAATTACCTAAAGGATGTAGCGTGCGTGTGCTCCAATGTCACAGTGGAATGTGATATTATTTCCCCGGAGCCTTTGATACCTTTTGAGCAATAAAGTAAATTGGATTAATAGTGCGTCGATGGTGGATTCATCCACAAGTCGGTAGATGATTGTGAGCCTGTTCAAGTCACCGTTGGGAGGTTTCTCCACCTCCACCAATTTGCCTCTGAACTCTAAAAAAGTTAAACGTGTTCTATTAAAAAGGGAGCTCCAGCAATGTTGTACTCTTCTTCCTTTAAAGTAGCAGGGCTTCACCAGAAACAGATTCTTAATAAATAAAAATATTTTTTTTTTAATCAAATAATTTCATTGCAAAAGGATCATACATTTCCCACAATGTCATTAGACCGGCCTTGTGGTCTGCCTGCACCTCTCAAACTCCCTTATATCGGTGCCAAAACTGGTTAAAATGCTCCCTAAAAAGCCCCTACAATATGTCAAACTCTTGATTAAGCAGAACCTGATGTACAAAATTGGCATGGCCCTTTAAATACACAAAATACTACATTTCTGATCTGAAACCAATTCTAGGTCAACACTGTTAGCTCATTTCAGCACTGTTGCCGTTGTTTCTGCAGTTAGCATTGCTAGCATTATGGCCGCCGCTAACTGCTGGTTAAGCTTAAACTCAAAGTGGTCGTATTAAGAATGCCTCATTTATCTTTGGAACACCAGGGTTATTATTACTCGTATGGTCTGTCCTTGTCTCTCCAGTTGAGGATCACTTCAATGTTGGTCTCAGAAAGCTCTTTAGCATGAAGGCCAGAGGGTTTCCCCTGGGTCCACGTCTCCTCATCAGCACCCCAATAATACAATTAAAATCAGTCCATAGAAGAGTAACCGTTTATATTTAGCTTTTAATTGTTCTCTCCAGGAAACACTTCGTTTCCTCGCGCTCTCTTTAGCTCGAAGTCACCCATCACTGGGTTGACTGCTGGGTGTTTTTCCCTTTCTTTTTCCGTTAAGCGTATCACAGACCTGCAACATGAAAGATTCCTCATTAAAATTGGTTTAAAAGTGTCAAGGAAAACTGTCTTTGCTTCCCATCCTCCCTCTGCAACCAACTTGCAGAGATCACAGTCTGAACACACATAATTGTGTCCAACAAAATGCACACTTGTTATTCTTTCCCTTCTTTCCCCTACTTCTTTCATTGCCCTCGACTTTCCTTCTCCACTTCAAGCAAACCGCATTTCCTCGTTTTTTTTTACTTCTCATGTCCCTGCAGTCATTAATATCACTACGCCACCCCCCCTCTTTTTTTTTATTATTTCAAACTTGCTCATCTCTCGGCTTCTGCTTCTTTCATCATCTTCTAGTTTCTCTTTTACCCTCTTCTCCGTTCTCCGTTCGTCCTCCTTTTGTATCAGGGATTCACAAATTTTGATAAATCTGACAGCGGGAATCCTTCGTTACACGTCGAATCAAAGTGAGCCTCTTAATTTCCAGGATTTCTTCTTTAAATCCCGGAGGAGATTGACATATCTCATGGGCCATATTAACCGACTGATTGACATGTGATCACATGTGAGGAAAAAAAAGTTGACCCGTCGTCTCATTCCCTTCATTTGCCTTCATACGAAGGTTTTGAAAAATAACTTCTGTCTGAAGTGAACAATGGTATTTATTCTTCATACGTTCTGGTTAAAGCTGTAGTAAAGGATCCGCTCAGGCCACTTGGGGGCATCAGAAGTTATGAACAATATCACTTTCTTTAAGTTGAAGAAATAGAGTGACATTGGAATCATGTTTTTGTCCAACTGATAAGTACTGTTTATTACAGTATATCTACTTAAGTGCATAGCCTACATTGAAAAAGGGACTTATTTGCAGTAAGATACAGGTTTTGTCTAGAAAAGAACAATGAATGTTATTAATAAAAAAACACAAACTGGGAAATTCTTGAAGTTTGAATTGTATCACCATCAAAAATCTCAACTAGAACAAACTGAATAACTTGTTTAGTTCTGGTGCACTTCTGTAGGTTCCATCACCTAACCTAGTTGTGTTGCCTAATTGCCAAAGGGGCTTCTACGGATGCATTGATCGATGGACATTTGCAGAAAAACACCAAAATAGCTTTTTATGAGATAATCAGGGGATACTTTTGTTGTATTATCAATGGTTGGCATTTTGTCAATAAATTGCTGGAGAACATGCTGGATCACTATTACACCACAGCAAGCAGGGCTTATCACGCCGTCCCTCGTGCTGCGCTGGGACACTCTGACGAAGTCATAGTCCTTCCGAAACTAAAGCTCTGAAAACCTGTGGGGAGTGAATTCAAGAAGTGGAACAGTGAGGTGCAAGATATTCAGGCGTGCTTGGACTGCACAGACTGGGATGTTTTCAGGACTGCTACTAACAGTCTGGATCAGTTCACAGAGGCTGTGACCTCTTACATCTGTAAGGATAGCTGTATACCATCATGCGCCAGGGTGAGTTATAATGACAACAAACCCTGGTTTACAGCGGAACTCAGAACACTATGACTGCAGAAGGATCAGGCATTTAGGAGTGGGCTCAAAGTCTTGTACGCAGAGACAAAATACAAGTTTAGCAAGGCAGTGTTCAGACATCTTCAACACCTCCTGGAGACATGCCATGTTGGTAAGACCCCCACCATCATCCCTATATCTCAGAAGCCCAGGATCACAGGACTCAATGACTACGGGTTCTCTGACCATCAGCACCGGTTCCCCCCAAGGCTGCATTCTTTCACCTTTGCTCTTCTCCCTGTACCCCAACCGCTGTAATTCCAGTCACCAGTCCGTCAAGCTCTTGAAGTTCGCAGATTAACCCTCCCTCATCTGGTCACGTGGTGCAGCCAGAACAGGAGCTCAACGCTCTAAAGACGGTGGAGATGGTTGTGGATTTCATGAGCTGAGTCCCACCTTCCCCCATCACTTTGTGTGACTCCCCCTGTGACTCCCCCAGCTGTGGATTCCTTCCGTTTCCTGGGCTCCATCATCACCCAGGACCTCAAGTGGGAGCTGAACATCAGCTCCATCAGCAAGAAGGCTCGGCAGAGGTTGTTCTTCTAGAGGCAGCTAAAGAAATTCAACCTGCCAAAGACGATGAAGGTCCACTTCTACACGGCCATCATCGAGTCCATCCTCTACTCCTCCATCACCGTCTGGTACGCTGCAGCCACAGCCAAGGACAAGGGCAGGCTGCAGCGTGTCCTCCGCTCTGCAGAGAGGGTGATCGGCTGCAATCTGCCGTACCTGCAGGACTTTTCACACCCACAACACAATTGTCTAGAGCAGAGGTCTTCAACAGGGGGGCCGCGACCCCCAAGGGGTCCGCGAGGGTACTGCAGGGGGATCGCGAAATTTTTGGTTGATAAGACAATTTTTTTCTCCACAAATGTAAATGTCTTCAGAATCAGAATCAGAATTTTATTTATGGTCTTTAAATACACATTAACATGAATCCAACATATTGAAGCGAACGGATTAATTGGAGAAGACTTTATCTGTCAGTCCGCAACACACACATTCAGCTTCCCTCAGCAGCTCTCAAGCTGGGCACCGGTTCACTCACTGCTCCTTTCATGCGAATACGACAGCGCAGGCACCAGCCAATCAGATCGCGTTCATGCTCACGTCGTGAGCATGAACGCGATTATGCACACATGTATCACACTTGTGTGCGTGAGATGACAGTATTGGATTAAGACCGCTTAAATAAGCTTTGTGTGAGTGTGTGTCAAGTTTCCTCTAACAAACACCAATTAATGAAGTGCCAGCCGAGCATGACTACCAAAAACTACACTGGCAATAAATATTCATACACACACGTACAGTTTAAAGACGTGCGGCATTCACCCACCCACACATCTCTCTATACCGTTTAATGTAGGAGCGAGTCACTATCTATTATAACCAGTCTAATTTAATTCATCTCCCGTTCTCACAGGGTGAGGCTGTGTGTGCTTATGTGTGTTGGCATGTAGAACCTAAAGTTTTAATTGAAGTGGATGTGTTTGTAATGCCTTATGTGTTTTTACCCCTGTTAGACACACACACAATTCTCTCCTTACTGCGTGTACGGAGAGCATATACAGCTATTGGTAAGGAGGAGAGAACTGGGTGTCCAAGGTCAGTGGAGCTCTTTGTCTTTTGCTTTAACACAGACACACTACATAATACACAATTCTATAGGGAAGGACTGCAGAAAGCGTTGGCTTTGAGTCTGAAAGACTGGGCAAGCAGAGAAAAGTGAGACATTGCAAAGCAGTCTGCAGGTACACAGTAAACAAGGAGTGAGAGATGCTTTATTGAGGGAGGGGAGAGAGACCTGGACCTGCATTTATTAGGCCCATTGGAAAAAAACGCAGACCATCATAGATCACTGACCGCAACTCCCCGGATAATTGAATTACATAAGATCTGAAACCAAAAGATACTGCGGAAGCGCTCCAACTCTTCAAACCCACACACACGTCAGTGGTTTTCAGTGCAGGACGGATAAGAATAAGGAGGAAATCAGTTTAGCGCACAAGCTCGGGGGGGAACTTCTTTGAGTACATTAGGCGTGTAAACAGTCGGGAAGGCCATGTCGCAACATCAGTCCAAATGTAGTCCGGCTTCCCTCCAAATGGGCCGAAGATGTGATAACGCCCGGTATGGCTGGGTTACTCAGCATCTTTAGATTGATAATGTTCTCGTTCCATCCCTGATGAGCAGAGCGTGATCCAGCGACGGTGCAGTG